TGGTGAACTAAAATGTAATATAAGCTGCAAAAAATATATGTATTTTGTAGTTGCTGGATGAAATATTCTGTAAATATCATAAATTCCTTTGATCAACACAATCTCTTAATAAGTTCGTTATGTATTGCTTCCCATACCAACATATAGTGACCTTCTTTATCCTTTTAATTTTGGCTTATGTGTGCTTCATTAGATCTGAGGACAGGTATCCCTGTTTGCTTGTAGATGTCACTTTCTTGGAATGTGTAAATGATATGGTGAAGTAAAATAAATATTTGGTTTCAAATATTCCATCCACAGCTAATCATTTCTTCCTCCTTTTAAGTAATGTATACATGCAACAATTAAAATACTTTTTATTATAAAAGTAGGAGGGGTGGAGCATCTGTTTACCAAGACTGAGATGAGGCCCTCAGAGAGATTCTAGTATTGCTAAAAAATGAATTAAGTATTTAAAGAAAAATACTGATGAGGGTCTTGGATATGGGTAAATTGGCAAAGCACTTATGAGGCTGAGATCTGTCCTCAGCACTGGGAAGAACAAAACAAGAGATAACAAAACAGAAACTTTGTGATTATTGAAGAGTTTTTTTCCAGAGAAAAGAAACACAATTAAAACATTTCATTTTCTCGAACATTTCAAACATTTCATTTTCAACAACTTAAAACAGAGGCAAGGCAGATCAGGAAAGATGAGGGACATAAAGTAGCTGCCAGGAATTCAGAGACAGATGCAGTTTACAATGCACAGCTTGATCCAAAGCAAGGAAACACTACTTCTTTTGTATTTATCTTTACATTCCTCATAAGCTGAAACAATTAGCAAGCAGGAAAAAAAAAAGAAAAAGGAAAAAAGGCAGCTCTTTTTCTCTGACCTTGTATGATTGCCCAACTAATTAATATACTCTGGGAACTGAGCAAAGGCATGTTGGGATGCAGGGGACAAACACAAACAATAGGAAACAGAATAAGGTGAGATCCAATAAATATTTTTAAGAAATGTAATTAAATATTAAGAAGTGTATAGAAATAGAATATTTCTGTATGTTTGGGGGGAAATGAGCTATCAAAACTTTTACTGTAGTACAGTTAACAACATGTTGCATTGTACATAAAAAAAGTGGGAGTTCTTTGAACACTGTGCTACAGGGTTCCCAGACAGATGTGTTCAGAAGTAAGAAGCACACTGAACGTGCCATCAGTCAGTAAATCAGGGTTCACCTTTGAACTCTGACATACTATCAATAGGTTTTAATATGTCATGATCTTTTGGGACCCAGACTCATTTGTAAAATAATTCTGAAGACACTGAATAAATTTACTTTCATGGTTATATAAAAAATCACACATTATGTTCTGCTTTTTAAAAGCCACACAAGGAAAAAATTCTCAAAGACACATGGAAAGTAAGTTTACTAAGCTTTTAAATTTTGGTATCTAAGCCCAGTACTAGTAGCTCATGCTTGTGATCCTAGCTTCTCAGGTGGGTGAGATCCAAGGATCATAGTTCAGAGACAGACCAGGCAGGAAAGACTGTGAGAGTCTTATCTCCAATTAACTACTCAAAAAGCCAGAATTGGAGGTTTGGCTCAAGTAGTAGAGTGCCAGCCTCGAGCAAAAACTCAGGGACAATGCCCAGGTTCTGAGTTCAAGCCCCAATACTGGCACAAAAAAAATAGGGATACTTTCTTATCTACCAATTTCATGTTTAAGATCCTAGTCTACTATAAAATTTTCATATGAGAAGGTATGTACAAATGGAACTATTTTAGCACCCTTTGAAATAGTAACAAACCAGAAGTAATATAAATGGTAGTAAACAAATTATACATAATCTACAACATTTGGAAGTAGAGTTACATGGACATTATCCATGCTGGGGATATGAGTGTATCATTAAAAAGTGATTTGGAAAATGTTTTGCTGTAGATTCATTCAATAACATTCAAAACCCAACATTTATATTTTAAATGTACATGCCTATGAACATACACAAACATATATATATATATATATATTTGCTCACATATACTTCTTAGACTTTCTGTAAGAATTGATAAGAAGCCAGGCATGGTGGCTCATGCCTATAATCTTAGCTACTCAGGAAGCTGAAATCAGAGGATTGCTGTTTGAAGCCAGCCAGGACAGGAAAGTCTGTAAGACTCTTACCTTCATTTAACTACCTAAAAACCAGAAGTGGAACTCAAAGTGATAGAACATTAGACTTGAACACACAGGCTCAGAGAGACAGTCCAGGCCTCAAGTTCAGCCCCAAGACCAACAGCAGGAAAATAGAATTGATAAGAAAAGAATTACCTGTTATTACCTTTGTACTTATGAATGTCTAACCTAACTTAAATTTGTATCTTTTCATAGTATATTAAGTAGATGCTTACCAACTTAAGTCATCTTTTCCTGAAAAATTAAGATTGTTGTCCCATATAGAGTATTTAAAATTTTAATTTGTATTCTTCTCAACCATTTTCTTAGCTCTGCATATCAGTTCCTTTACTAACTTAGAAGCAAAAGCTAACCAAAATATATTTCAACTGACACCTTTTACTTCTTCTAAGTGTACTATATAAAAGTTCTTTATAGATAATTAATTTCAGGTGCCTGCCCCAGAGCAAATAAATACACAAAATGAAGAGCTGTACCCAATGTCAACAGTAGATGGTGCACATTTACTCTTCTTCAAACAACTTTGTCTCAAATGAAATAAAACACACACACACACACAACATACAAAATCATTCTAAAACCATCTGCAAAATTGATTAGATTTCTTGTGAGCTAACAAAAGAAGCCAATTATCTCAATTTAATGTCCTGTAAATGACCCTCTGCAGTGTTGGGATTTGTTTTCTGAATTGAACATAAGAAACAAACAAGGATTTCTGCAATATCTTGTGATAACAATAAAAGGAGGCTCATAAATGCCTGTGAATGCCAATATAGAGGAACAGTTCTATGGCTCATAGCAAGGGCCAGACAAGTTTGGAAGAATGTCATGCTACAGTGGGTCAGGTTGGAAGAAGATGGAAAAACAATATAGTCAAAACAGGGTTGACCATTTTTCCTAATGTTCACCTCTCTAGAACCTTAGATATTACCAACAATATTAAAAGTATACTGAATTTTGATATAATTTATTGGGCAGATGAAATAAAATTACAAGCACAAGGGGAAAAATCATGTGCAATATCCAAGTGAAGAGCTTTATATGTAGCATTACAATAAATGAGGTTAGTATCAAGAAGCTATGGTACTTAACTCCCAATGGATATGTCTAAATGAACTACTTTATTATAAATGTTAACATTTGAATGTTAAAATTTTTCATCCACTTTAACTTTTAAACTTATGAAGAGACTTATGATGAGTCTAACCTTTAGACATGAACTTAAAAAGGTGTGGGTGATGAGGCACTAGTGGCTCTCACCTGTAATCCTAGTAACTCAGGAGGCTGAAATATATGGATGGAGGTTCAAAGCCTCCAAGAAAGTCTGCGAGACTCTTATCTCCAATGAGCCCCTCAAATCTGGAAATAAATCTGTGGTTAATGTGGGCGAGTGCCAGCCTTGAGCAAAATAAGTTCAAAGACAGTGCCCAGTCTTTGAGTTAAGTCTCAGGACCAACAAAGAGAGAAAGGGAGAGAGAAAGGGAAAGATAGAGAGAGAAAGAGAGAGAACGAGAGAGAAAAAGAAAGAAAGAAGGAAAGAAAGAAAGAAAGAAAGAAAGGAAGGAAGGAAGGAAGGAAAAAGAGAAAGAGAAAAAGAGAAAGACAGAGAAAGAGAGAGGAAGAAGGAAGGAAGGCAGGAAGGGAGGAAGGGAGGGAGAGAGGGAGAAGGGAGGGAGGGAGAGAGGGAGGAAGAGGAAGAAGAGAGAGAAAGAAGGAAAGTAGGAAAAGAGAGGAGGAATGAAGAGGTATAAGTGAGCACATGAAAACTCTTATGGAATGCTCCTCTGCCCTGTAGTGCTTACAAAGAAGACAAATTGTCTGGATAGTCTATGTCCCCAAATAAGTGCTCTCCTTTCATACTGATTCCTTCAGAATAGAGTTCTGGTTTCCAAAAAGAAAATTACATTTAGAAATATTTCTGGTTGAAACAGGTGCCAGTGGCTCATACCTACTCAGGAGCCTCAGATCTGAGGATCGGGCAGGAAAGTCCATGAGATTCTTGTATCCCACTAATTCTCTCTCTGTCTCTGTCTGTCTCTGTCTGTCTCTCTCTCTGTCTCTCTTTTTCACACACACACACACACACACACACACACACACACACACAGCCAGAAGTGGAGCTGTAGCCCAAATTGTAGAGTGCTAGCCTTGAACAAAAAAACTCAGGACTTCCCCCAGACCCTAGGACCAACACAAAATAAAAAAGGAAAAAAGACAGAAATATTTCTGGCCAGTTGTTTTGTATTACAATGAGAAGCCTTGAAACAAAACAAAACAAAACAGTTCACTCTGATAAATAAAAATAGCACAGAAATTAAATATTTAAATATGTTAAATCTTAAACCTATTGGTCAAGTACCTTGTTTGCCAAAATGATAATGAAAAGCTTTTCCCATGATTGCTTGATAGTTTCTATGAGAATAAGTATCCATGTTAAAATGAATCTAACAATAGCAATGTATGTAGTGAAGTATAGTTCATACAAACTCTGCTAGTTTCTGAACTTTTTTTCTTTTGTTCCATCACTGTAGCTTGAACCTCAATCCTCAGATCTTAGCTTCCTGAGATCCTCCTGTAATCCTCAGCTAAGATTAAAGGCATAAGGCACCTATGCTGTCTCTGAGCCAGATTTTAACCATTTGATATACATCTAGGTGGGATAGCATCTGCTTTGCTTCGTCTTGTGCATCAGTGCTTAAATACATAGTGATTTGTAATTCTATTGTTAGTTCATCTTCAAATGCTTCCTACGATGATACTGTGATATTTTAATTTCATCCTTAGCCACATGTCAAAAATTCCGAGAAATGATAACTTACCCTCTGTGACATTTTGCTACTTCATCAAGCAAAAGCTTCCATCTAGGACGTCCAACAAAAAGTCTTGAATTTAGTGCGTGGTATTTTTCTCCAATTATCTTCTGCCAAAAAGAAAGCATTACATCTCACATAAGTCACAGATTAAGATAGTTTAATTCTCTAACATCAATTCTGTCGGTGCTGTGCTTTCCTACTAAATCATTGTGATATAAAGAATCTAAGTACCATTCTAAAATCTGTTAAGTACAGTCATTTTGAAGTATCATTTCTTTCTCCTTTTCTTATAAAACCCATTATCTTCTTGAGTGCCATTTTTTACAAATGGCTGATTTTCCTAGACATCAGTTCCTTGCTTTACTTTTTAAAAATGAAAATGTAAGATAAAGACTATATTCTAATCCCTCATTCCTAAAGAGTCTCACAACATAAATGTCATTGAAGTATTTTTTGCCCTGAAATAATAGTTGTCATATTTTTCTCATTATGTGAAGAAATTACTACAAATTATCATGGCAAATTTTGAGAAATAATCATAGACAAGACATTCCAATACAACAGAGTTTCTATCTTGACACTATCAACAAATGACTATTAGTAAACTAGTTTTAGCAGTTAAAAGGACATTACATCTAATGTAAGAGTCAGAGTGAAAAAATAGTATCTAAATTTCAGGTAAGAAGACCTAGTAACAATTAGAATTTTCTGCTATACCTTAATTACAATGATACTAGGTTAAAATGATATTGACATACTTCATGAATGTGGTGAGATTATTATTATTTTATGCGAGTTCTGGGGCTTGAACCAAGGACCTGGGAGTTACCCCTTTTCACTAAAGGTTGGAACTCTACTATTTGAACCATAGCTCCACTTTTGGCGTTTGGCTGGTTAACTGAAGACTTTCCAGCTGGGATGGATTAGAATAGCCATTATCTTATTTTAGCCTCTCAAGTAGCTAGGATTACAAGCATGAGCCACCAGTTCCCTATCAAGTGGGGGAGAAATCTGACTGAAATAGTTTTGAGGTGATTGACAAGTATTCATATTTTGCATTCAAAATGTTGTGAAAATATATGATATACTTAATTTGTAATAAAACCTGGGAAATTATGCACACCCAGACTCATCATCCCATGCTCTAAACACTTGTTTCTTCATCTGCAAATAGGAATAGCATCTGTTTCTCAATAAATGTGACATTCTTAGTATGGTGCCCAACATAGCAAATACATAGTGCATGATAGTTACTATTGGGCTTGTAGATAGCTTTGGAATGAACTAATCTTAATCTTAATAATATGTGACTTTATCTTCTCTCTCCACAAACAACAACAACCAAAAAAAAGTCCTCTTCAGGGGCTGGGAAGGTAGCTCAGAGGTAGAGCGCGTGCCTTGAATGCCTGAGGCCCTGGGTTCGATTCCTCAGCACCACACAAGCAAAAAGAAAAAAGCTGGAAGTGGCGCTGTGGCTCAAGTGGTAGAGCGCTAGCCTTGAGCTGAAGAGCTGAGGGACAGCACCCAGGCCCACAGTTCAGGCCCCACAACTGACCCCCCCCAAAAAAGTCCTCTTCATACACTTGTTCATACACCTTGATCTCTAGAGATAACAAACGAGCAATACTTAAGAGTAGAAAGATAAACCAAAAGGTCTACTGGAGCCTGCAGTGAGGAGGACAAATGAAAGGCAAAATATGGTAGACATCAAGGACAAACCAGGAGTTCTCTGGACATATTCCAAAGGAGGCCTTCCTCTAGCAATCTTATGCTCAACCCACCAGCAGAAGTTTTCTTCCAGCTCAGCTCCTACAGTAAATCTTCTATTATCAAGAGGCTTGTTTAATTAACAGTAACATCCAACCCCATACCTGTATCCCATCTGTTTGACTGAGGTACAGCTGGATGTTGATATAGTCAGGTCTATTTTCCTGCCAAAACTGAAAGGGCATAAAAATTAATAGAGATACTGAAATTCTTTCAAATATTTTATTTTATTTTTATTTTATTCTAACATATGATTTGATAATTCAGTCAACAACTTGACATATCACAACAGACTACAAATGAAATATAAACAGACAGATAGTTAAATAGCTAGGTAAATAGACAGACAGATTCCAGCATTCATAACATTACTCATGCTACTGGCAAAAAATAGGTATGAGAGTGGTGGAAATCAAAACAATTTTCTCCTCAAGGATATAAAATCAACCACAGTAAAAACTATATTAATATTCTCCTAAGTCTATCCCAAAAAATTCTCATTTTGTTTTATGAGTTTACTTATCACAAATATAACATTTAAAAAAGAAATGCTAGGAAACACAAGGGTTTAGACATGCTAGGAAATACAAGACAATTAAAAATTGACACTTTTGACTTGTTTCTGATTTCTACCTACTCAGCACTGATTTTCTTATATACTAATGTATATGACAAAAATATATACACCTGGAAAAATTGTCTAGAAAGAAGTGTGGAATAGTAACTTTCTATTTCACTGGCCCTCAGACTCAAACCTCTACTCACTATAATGAACCTACTCTAGATAGCTCATATATATATATATATATATATATATTTCTATATATTTCTCATCCTATATATATATGTCATATATAGGATATATAGGATATATATATAAATACATATATATATAATGTAGAAGATGCTTATACTCTCTCTCTCTCTCTCTCTCTCTCACACACACACACACACACACAAACACATATATGAGGAGAAAAGATGTTACCTTTTGTATCTGGCTTATTTTACTCTGTCTCCAAAGCTCACTTATGCATGTATCAGAATTTCCTTGTGTGTGTGTGTGTGTGTGTGTGTGTGTGTGTGTGTGTTGTTGGTACTGGTGATTTAGCTCAAGGCCTTATGAATGTAGGTCAGGTGCTTTACAATTGAACCACATCTCCAGTACTGGAAGTCCCTTCTTCTTCAAGGTTAAGTAATTCCACTGCATGCATATGGCATAATTTGTTTCTTCATTGGTTACTTGATTAAACACTTGAGTTTTAGGTTCCTCCACTTTCATTTGCTCCTATAAGATGTTTCTTTAGTCTTCCTGTCCACTGCATTCACATCTCTGTTCCCAAACAGCACATTCAATGGGCATTCCTCAGCATACAACCCACTTGAACATACCCCCCACTGGTAAGGCTGCTTTCCCTTGACTTTCCTTTCCTTTGTCCTGACTGAAATCGCAGACTCACATAGCCTACAAATTGATTGGAACCTACTTAGTACATAAATCACATCAGATCAAACATTGAACTTTATTGTGTTACCTGATATATCTCCAGCTCCTAAAACAGTTCTTGATTTTATGGTTGGGAGTCACTAAGTACTTACTAAAGGAGAAAATACCTGACTGAATAAAAGTATGTTCAAAGAGATACACGTAATGATAGCTACTGAAGCACTCTTTGTACTAACAACATAAATATTTACTACAGGGAATTATTATTTCCATGCCATAGAACTCTCTACAGCAATCAAAAAATGAAATAACTTGGTTTGTTAATACAAAAGCAATAATCAAGATGCAGCAGTAAATTTTTAAAAGGCAGTTAGAAAAAAGTAAATAGTATGATAGAATTTTTATAAGATAATTGGTTACACTGACTGGGTAGGAAAAGTAGTAAGAAGTTTTCTGAATTGTTCTACCTGAATTATTTGAAGCATTTGCAAAGATGTATTATTTTAATAAATAACTAATATATTAATAAATAAGTGAATGAAATATCAAAAGTAGATTTGGTGAATGACTGCCTTTATCTCTCTCTCTCTCTCTCTGTGCTGGATCTGTGCCTTGAACTCAGAACCCTACACTCTCACTTGGCATTCTGCACTCATGGTTGGTGCTCTACCACATGCCTCCACTTCCAGCTTTAATGGAGATAAGAGTCTTTGCTGATTTGTCTCCCTTAGCCAACTTCTCATCTCAATCCTAAAAGCTCAGCTTATGGAGTAACTCATATTAAAGGCTTGAGACTTTCATGCCCAGTCTGTTATCTTAGAATTCTCAGTTAGAATTCTGTGTCTCTGAGAGTCTTCATTGTGCACCAAAAAGTATGATACTGTTTTGAAATCTTAAAGGTGGAGATGAGGGTAAGTAGTATAAGAACAAAGGTTAGAAGCCATTTAAGGAGCAGCTGCTGATGTTCCCTTCCAGCCCGTCCTACTCTTCAACTAGCCATATATCTATGTTGAACATCTTAGATTAAAACATAGAAATGGGTATTTCTGTGTTAAAGTATGTCATGGAAAAATACGTAATCATAAATATTCATATCCAAAAAGATGTTTTCTAATTATCTTTTAAGTTGAAGGCAAGTTTTATTTATTCTCTAGGAAGCAGTTATTAGTTTTGCAGTACAAAAGAAAACTATATTTTAGGTAAAGATTGTGCAACTAAAAAAACCCTATTGTTACCTTGTTATGCAATGTACAGAGTAAGTCTGCAAACCAGGAGAAGGACTGGATGTCTCTGCACACCCAAATAAAGTACAGTCTTCTAAGCTTGTACGATTTCCAGTCATCCCTTTAAAATTAAAATACCATGATAGTGAGTATTACAAAAAAACCCTCAAACAGAATACTTTGTTATTGCAATTTTGTTAGTAAGCCACCAACAGAAAAAGAGAGCCTTCCACATGCTAGCAACTCATGTAGCACTTATTACTGTCAAATTAATGTCACATGCAACAGACTAATTCAAAGACATAAAGACACAACATTCAACCAGTGTTCCAACTTTGTAGATATTATATGCATATCACCTGCTTTTATTGGAGGGCCACAAGCTGATCTCTTAGGTCAAAATACCATTGTTCCTTGAACCACAGAAAAACAAGTTCTCTATTTTCAGTGAATTCTATTATTGCACAGGGCTCCAAAGGTCATCTGGTCTTGCCCTTGTCTCTAAGAAAAGGAGCCAAAACCACCCCCGGAATCTTGGTTGTTTATCCCTTTCTTAAGACTCATTAAGG